AGACACTGTATCATATAAGATATTCTTAAAATGTGAGCACTTTGTGCGTCAACAACTTTTATATGAAACTACTTCTATGTTCTATTCTATGAAAGTTCAACACTAACGGAAATAATGGACTCTCTCGCACTAAAAAATCACCCTGTATATAAAAATAGTTCCTTTCTGATGAACCGTAAACGATGCTGAAATTTTTGCGCTTATTAGTTTTAAATTGAGGAATGTGCAACACTTGAATAAAAAAATTTATGCTATTGTAAATATTATTTTAATATATATTTTATATCACTCAAGGCAAAAATTTACAGTTTTTTTAAAGAAGAGTATTAAGGATAAATTCCACACCTACTCATTAAAATTGACTGTGTCTCTGATTAGACATTGCAACAAAATAACAAAGCTTTAAAATTGACCATTAGCTTTAAATCAGAGTAAAGGGTTACTAAACAGTAGATAAAACATCTAGTTAACAAGCCAAATCCTTGACACAATGAGGGATTCTGTATAATCCGTAGCTAATTGGATCAGATAACTATATCGTTATATAAGTTGATGTTTAATGTTTTATTCCCTACGCAGACATTCTTAGTTTTCACTTGCATTTATTCTGCTATTCAAATTGATTTAGGCCAGAAAAAAAATTTAATCGCTTCTTCATTTCTATCATTTGAATCTTGCAGATTCTGAAGTTTATTGGAAGTATAAGTTTACTCCTGATCTATATACAGGGTGGTTCAAAATTGGCGTCACTCCTCTGGACGAGTTGTGTGGCGGTGTTTTAGAACTTTAGAAAAATTAGTAAAAAAATTAATTGTTATTAAAAACGGCAACAGGTTTTTGCCTAATTAATATTCCGTAAATACCTGTTTCTTTGTAATTATTTAAAACTTCGGTAACCATGGATAAATGGAAAAAGTGACAATAACATAGATAATGATAAACGGTAAATTCATCAAGAACCGACTAATGACGGCACCTATTTCGAAATTCATAACCTCTAATTATTAATTTGTTTACAAATTACAAAAACATACATTTGATTCTGTAACTACAAACAAGTGCCTGTGCAATAACTTTATTATGCACTCTTCTCGAGCAGCTTCTCGTATTCGGTTAACTAACAACTGCTCGATTTATACCGTTGTTCAGTAATCCATTGGCTTAATGTGATCTTACATACGTGGTAGAAATGTAGGCGGTATTTATTTGGTGCCTGGGAAAGTGTCAGTTGTTGTGCTCTGAGTACCTCTAGAAGGCTCTGCTGCAATTATGTCCAACACTTGTTCCTCTGTGCCTGGAACCCGAACATCTATTGCCGTCCATTATCGTATACCAATTACCATATTATTGCACGGAAATTTGATAGCACGTGGTCATTTGAGAGCTCTGTGCTAACCTGGATGGACGTCGCATTTTTAATTGGGCGCTACGCTCTTGAGATATATTTAAATTAGCAATATTTCGGTTTTATTATAGAAACAAATTTTATAAAGAAAATATGGGCCTCCGTCCCCCGCAGAACTTAAATGGTCAGACGCTGCTAAGAGTCTCCGAGTCAGTCACAAAAATATCGTGGGCTTAGAGCTAAAACTGGCCCAAGTCTAAAATATGAATTTTTCGTAAAGGCACTTTTAAACCGAGCCGAAAATTATATGTGAATCCTTTTGGAAACGCTGTCATTAAAACCACATTTTAGTGCATCTATTTGTGTGACCTTGGGGAACATCGTCAGTTTTTGAAGACAAATATTCAGTTTTTTTAAATTACGTGGCTAACCAAACACAAATGTCACAAGTTGGTCACATTTAGCTCACACTACACCAGACAGAAAGAGTACAAAACGCAATTCAGGAACTGAAACGGATGAATCTCAAAGTCATGGGCCTAAGGAAAGTGAGGTAACAGGTAGGTAGGAAAGTGAGAGTAGCTCAGGACAGTGTTCCATTTTTTTTTCGGTGAGGTTTGGGACTCCAGCTAAGCTGTTTACCCAYTAAAACCCTTTCCTCACCGCCGAGGTGGTGTTTGGCCTTGCACCGCGGTCATTTCTGCCCTATTGTGCTCTCGTATTTTACTCCCTCATTATCCCTGTGTATTCAATGAATTCCAGGAATCTGGGGGGGTGGGGGTACGACGCATGACCTGGTCTGGTAGTCATCCCTGGCTGCAGCTCGTCGATTTTCCCAAGCATGTGCCCCTTCATGAGTTCTCCCTGCTGAGGAGAAAAGTTATTCTCGGGATATCCGACAGCCGCTATGGCAATCTTAATCCCGGAAACCGCAACCTTGCACGACTTGCGTGTGGTTCTTTCGTATACGGAAGTTCCCACATACAGCCGTCCAGGTGCTGGCTTGATGGGTGTGCTGCCATCCGACCGGTGTCGCTTTTGAGTCCCGGTCATGGTCAGCTTTTTTGGAGTGTGCTGGTTCCCCTGAGGATCTACCTAGCGCAGTTTTGGTGGTTTTTCCGACTGGCGGCTCGCGAAAGTTTTTTACCACCCTTCGGTACTTTGCCAGCTGCGGAGCCCGACGGTTCTTCTGAGGAGGTCCCGCCGGTATTTTGTGGTGTATGATTGTGGTGGTGTTTTCCTTTGTCTCTATTGAAACGTAAATAACTAGTTTTGAAGAACCTGCTCGAAGCACAAAATGTGAGTTTGTTGATATAAAAAAGTAATCCAACAAGTCTTGTGAAATCCACAAGCAAACGATATTATTATCTAGCTCGGCGTTTTGGGCATCTAAGCAAGCTCTATTTTATTGCGGTCTTGAGCTAGCAATTAGTGAGTGTTCATCAATTGTGAAACAGGAGAACATATCGGACCTTATAGAATAAGAGAGAGGAATGCGAATCGAGATCGATTGAGTATGTTTATACTGAAGTACAACCGATAATACCTAATACATTGAATAAACTACCTAGGTCTTACACGTGAAAATCACCAAGTGACTCGGACCACCATGTAGTTAGAAATCAAATATAATATATCTTGGGTAAGTATCGACATTCCTTTGTTTCTGTCAAGACTTATCCGGAAGCGGATATAATGTCTGACTACTAAAAAATTTTAATATGTAAATAAAATATGTTTTAGGATAAATTAAAATATACATTTATGTTTTCCAACCCACATTCCATAACATTTGACAACACAACGAAAACATTTATAACAGAAGAGCAAATATAAAATTTCTTAAAAAAACTCGCACATACTTATTCATTTTTTTCAGAATTAGGCAACTTAGAACTTTGTTTTTGAAGACTTCAAACTTTTCCGGAAGAAGAGTTTAGCTTTTAAAAGATCGATTTTACTTTTGCAGTTTACGTACTTTGATACCTGAAAGTTTCATATTCTTCCCTTTATCCCAAATATGTCTAAACGCAACCACATTCATTGAACATACCCGTACCTTGCAACTTTGCCCACTCATAGACAACGACAACGTACACCAACGAACGATTGGGTCCTTAAAGGTACGACACGGTCTTGGAGGAAGGCGGAAGGGTGTAGGCAAGCCAAATAGTTGATTGGAGGCAAGGCCAAGGCATCGCCCAAATGGCTGAGGTCAACGAGTCGCTGGGCCCTGAGAACTCTGGTTGGGATCATGACAGGCCACTATGGTCTGAACAGACTCCTACACGTAGTTGGATTCGGTGATAGCCCCGTATGTCCACAATGTGGAACGGCAGAGCAAACATCGTATCACCTTCTAGGAGTCTGCCATTACTAGTCGTCCATGAAGAAGCGCCTGCTTGGTGCCTCCACACTCTTCTGCACGGAACTGTTTTCCCTAGAGTGGAGACAAATCATCGCCTTTGTCAGGGAGACGGGACGCTTGGGTGGTGAAGAGAAGAGGTAGCAAGGCGGGGGTGGATGGAGGGGGAATGTTAAAAAGGGCCTTTGAGGCGCCTACTCGCCTGACCCATCCGGGTCCCCCGCACGATACTACTACTACTACTACTACTACTACTACTACTACTACTACTACTACTACTGCTACTACTACTACTACTACTACTACTACTACTACTACTAGTACACCAACGAGGTGTACTTGCGCATGTTCGACACCAACTGAGTGAATCCGATAATAAACAAGTAAATTCAGTCAATTCAGAGTTGGTTTTTATATTATTAACCAAACCCGAAAGTTTAACTATTTGATTTGGAAACGAAAGTTACAGAAGATTCTGAATTTGTTTCAAATGCATAAACTTAATAAATAATAACTTCATAATAAATTTATGTCGATTAGATTTATTATTTGAAAGAAATGCAATAAATGATCATAAAGAAAAGCCATCAAATCAAGAAAACGTATTTTGGCTATTATAAGTTAGCTGACTGTCAGCAGAGACTTTGAGAAACCAGAAGCAGTTATATATCCGAAGGAGTTGGTATTACCTCAGAAACTCACAATACCATACATTTTCAACGATTCATCGTAACCCGTCTGTGTAATTGTTGCCATTTGCCTAATAAAACCTTTAAACAATCGTTTTCTAATTAAACTAATGACTCAAAATTAGATTTAGTATCTAGATACCAGAATTTTTATTAACTAACACACACAACTTCTCTTTTGGGGTTGCGTCCGATGAACATTTCGTTGTGCCACATGGAATTGGCAGTTAACTCTGCAGGATTTCACTCTGATGTATGGATCCTAATAATTTTCAAGGTTGGACTCCACGTCCAGATGTTAATGTTACCAAGCGCGATTGTTTTTCATTATATCGTAGTTAAAAGCGTCTCTTGCCGGCCAATAGAAACATAAATTTTCCCTTAAAATTGTTTTTGCGCGGCTCGACGGGAGTCGACACCGCAATTTCTCATTTAACGATGTCATTTACAGGCACTGTTCACAGTACGGACAACCATCGATTCGTTTTGCTTTTAGTAACATTTCTTATAATGTTCAATAAATCACTGCGCAGGAAAATTAGAGTTGAGGTAGAGAATGGCTATATAAATCCTCAATTTATTTCATGCGTGCAACAGTGCAAAAGTGAATTCATTCTGACAATTACGGGGTTAGTTACTAAACTTTAATTGTTGATTGTTGTGCTTAGAGTGTGTACGACATTAAAACGTATTTGATTTTTTTAGCAGCTAAATATTTAACAGTTACAAACAAAAATATGTTTTGCAAGGAACATGTGTTGATTTTAAAACTAAATTCACAATGATTTTAAGCATAAGTTTTCTGGTGTTTCATATCTCAGTTTCTATACATACCTACTAATTTTCATTCACTTTGCTATTGTTTTTTAGCAGCGCATAGTCAAGTTCGTGCTCATATTATAGTTAGGTATGTATGAACAAAAATATGCCAATTTGAATAAAAAATAGGAATATTTTTAGAAACCAACTAAATAATCCCACTAAACATGCCTACGTCATTTACTCTTTTTTTTATCCTTGTTGGTTGCATGAGACAATTCGATATTGAAGGCATTCGTCCAGAAGATTTTATAATAGGTCATGCTTGAAACGCTATCTTAAAATTTCTAAAATGTGTGCAAGTTGTCTACCATTAATGACTACGATTTCCATCAGCTGGAATACATTTTATTCAATTGGTACATTGACGAAGAACAATTCCTGTTGGGCTAAGAGATCCGAAAAACGTCATAAGAATAAGTCCAAACTCTGCTGGAAATCCAAAGTAGTTTTGTAGTAGGAATTAGCAATTTTTAAGAGGCACTGAATAAAACGAAATGAAATTGGACATTTTGCGTGGTCAGTAATATGGAGTTTCGAAAATATTTTGAAAACTATTAATACAAACAACAAAAAAAAATTTGTTTCAAAATACAGTTGAAAAAACCGCCCAAAATCAATATTTTCAAATGGAAACAAATGTAAAGGCCATTTTACAGCCGGCAATTTTTATTGCCCGCAACTTTCTTGCACGCAATATTTTTCGAGTTGCCGGCAACTTTTATTGCCGGCTATAGTTCCAAACCTAAAATTTCTTGCAGCTAGCCGCAATTTTAGTGACTTTTCTGGTTCTTTTCATGCTGCCAACTGTTCGTTCATAGTAATATAAATCACCAGCACTGGCATATTTGCTTATTTTCGTTTTTCATTGAAATAAACTACAACTCATGTTAATCACAATAATTTCCTTGACAATATAATTGTAACCTCAAACGAAAACAAAACAAGCAAACAAACTTTGGATTTTTTTACGTATAGTGAATAGTTGGTACGCTTGATGGATTTGTCTAAATGTAAAGTTTAACATTGCACACTGTAAAGCGGAGTACTAAAAATATAGCTGCAAGAAAATAGCCGCAAGAAAGTTGCGGGCAATAAAATTGCCGACTGTAAAACGCCCTTAAAACGGCCTTTAAGAAATTTGTGGTTAAGCGTTACACAGTAGTTTTAGGGACACCCTGTATATTTAGATGTACTTAAAGTTTGACTTTCAAAATTGTTTTATTAAAATTAAAGAACTATTTTTAATTTATTTTAATTAAATTTAAAATTTCTCAAAAAAGATTGGTGGATGTTTTTTACATAAGTGACGTTTGAGTGATCTTTGATCATATAGTCTTACAGTATAGCTTTAGCCAATATCTAAAATGCGTTCTTCTCGGTTTGTTTGTTTCATTCGGGAATTGCTTAATTGACAGTAAAACAGTTAAATTTTTGAATAAAATTTTAGTATTCACTACATTATGCCGGCTGTTTTATTTCCGAAAATGTACATTATCTTTACACACACACCCATGTAATGCGGATGAATAGTACTAGTAGAATTCGTTTAAGCTTTCACCTAATGCAGTCCGCAAGAGTTTTATCGTCGCTTTTGCATAAGTTTCATGTATATTATTTTCAAAAATACCAGTTAGGTCAGTTGTCGTAGAGTGGCTACTAAAGCAACTGAAAATACTGATGCAGAAGTAATTGCGTTACTTTTACTCTCCTTGAGTAAACCCGAAGTAACGAGTAGGTAAAATGATACATGCTTACAGTGATTCCAAAACTCCTTAGTTGCATATTTACTACCTGTATTATTTATTAAAGTCATACTTATAATAAATACTTAATATAAAATAGGTATAAACAGTTTGATATTGGCTTGTGTACTTTTTAAGAAATGACCGTGACTTTTTATACATCTTTAAATAGTTAATTTGATATAATTGATAGAGGGTCAAAAAGACATAAAATAATAAAAAACAAACCGTTCAGTCCTGCTCGTTTTATGGCACAATATAAAAAATTATACCAGAATAATTTTAGAGATAAATACGGCTTGCTTTTTGTTTTAAAATTCTAAACAACAATGTTATTCATAAAACGCTTGCGGCACCACTTCTTCGCGAAAAAACTGATGCGTCATATGCGCTAGATTCCAATATTACACCAATAGCAACCAAAAGAAGTATTTATTACAAAAATTTACAGTATCTTCTTATTGAAAAAAAGCACGCAAATTTAGATAAAATTGGGGACATTAGAGAGATATGAAACACATAACAGCTATGTCGCTAATTGTGCCGCCGTTAATTCACATATACAGGTGAGCATTTCATTTTTAGAGAGTTGCTTTTATTGAGCTTTGTGGCTCCTGTTATTTGTGCACTCTATTCGCATGTCACAATTTCATTTTTACTTTACTTCGGCTGATTTCGTCACACATTCTTGCATCGACTAGCTCTCAACTATGTGAGCAGTCCTATAATCCATTGAATAAGCACTTTTAATTAAAATGTAATCAAGTCACACTTTTCAAAGATTCATTTAACAGCTGCAAAAAGTCCTTGGTGGGTAAACAGTAACACATTTTATATGTTACAACAACCCCTTGTTTTGCATATTTCCATTACACTACTATATATGAAAAAGAGTTAGTACTTGGCACTAAATCAGTCACAGCCTGCAATTATTAGTTAACGGCCAGTAAACATATTTTTCTAATAATAGGGATTGGTGTGTACACTATACACACTGAATGAAATCAAAGAATCTGACTTTTTTGTATGGAAGTGTGTAATTAACGGTCTTTTTCAAGCCTTCAAAGGTACAGCCTAAGTGCTGTTGACAGGGACAGTGTAGGTTTGATAGTTTCGAGGATGTTTAATTTARTTTGATTTATTTTATTCTGCTTTTACCCTTGCGTTCGGCCTGTTGCTGCCCAGGTAAAGTGTCTGAGACTTRCCCATAGAACAAGGCTTATTGATATATACAAGGTGATTCAAAATTGGAGGTGTTGTCTGGCGCTGTTATAGGAGTACAGAAAAAATAGTAAAAGAAATTAGTTGTTATTAAAAACTGATAAATTTGCAAAAAACTATATCAGAAATACGGCAGCAATGTTTTTCAAGGTAATCTCCCTAACTAACATTGCGCAAATACCTGTGGCTTCGTAATTATTTAAAACTCCGGTAACCATGGTATTATGCAGTCTGACAATAAGATAGACAAGGATAAACGGTAAATTCAACAAGATTTGTTGACGAAATGTCAACCTGTTCTCATAACCTCAACCCCCAAACCATACAAGACCAAACATTTGAATGGTTAACTCCAAACAAGCTAGTGCCTGTGTAATTTCCTTATAATCCACTCTTATCAAGCAGCTTCTCGTATTCAGTTAATTAACTCCTGCTCCATTTGTATGTCCTTGAGCTGTGTGTATCGTATTTGTGCTGTGTGTATCCGCTTTCTCGGTATTTATTTGGTGCTTGGGAAAGTGTCAGTTATTGTGCTCTGAGTGCCCCTGGAAGGCCCTGATTCTGTTATGTCCAATACGTGATCCTCTGTACCTGGAACCCGAACATCCATAGTCCACTATCTTTCTGGAACCACTCTCCTGGCCCTTTGTTGCCGTGAGTTCTTTCAGCTTCTGTTATGTTACTGTAGCATTTCCCCTGATCAGCAAATTCGTGAAGGGAAATTCAAAGTAAGTCACAGTTTGACAAATTATTGTTATTATTGACAAGGGCTATCCACCTGTAACTATCTGTTAATGACAAAAAACATGATTGCCGCTGTGCCTTTTCATCRAAAAATTGTAGAAGAGAACTTTTTTGATAGAAAAATTTTTCGTAATTTGAAGCAAAGATGGTAATTTTTTTTCTTGAATGCTTAAGTWTTCCAATATGCTACCAATTAAACATAGAACCATTTCAAAATAATGCTTAATAACAAAGTTGAAATTCGATCTTCARCTGTTAATATCKTCTAGAAAATTTCGAAAAAAAATGTTTCTATATTTTTCTGGTACTCTCCAAGGGAGCCTCTATCACCCYTTAAAAGGAATGACGGAAATTTTGAATCACCCTGTATATTGACTTGACTGTGAAATSAATGATATATCGGAGCGGAAAAAGAAACGGTTGAAATTTTTGTTCGATATTYCATAATTTATTGAACTTGACGACGCAAGAGAGTTTAATTTTTAACAATTTTAAACAAGTTTAAACGGTTTACACCATTTTACACTATTTTAGACAGTGTTTGACGATTTTAGACAGTGTTTGACGATTTTAGACAAATAAACTCGTTTAGTCGGTTCGTGCTGTTATTTTATTTTAAGTTATGCAGTTGAGGAAAATCTACCTTTGAAGGCTTGAAAAAGACTGTTAATTACACACTTCAGTACAAAAAATACCGATTTTTTGAAAACATATTTTTCCATATTCCATCTTTATTGAAATAAACATTTTGTCTGTCAAGAATTACTTAGTTTCAAAAGGCATTCCATGATCTATTCAGACATCAAAAATCTAAAATCAGACCAGTGTTTTTGATGTAAATAAATATTAAACTGTACAAGGTGTCCCACCGGGAACCGCCGAGATTGATATCTGGTCAACTGTAAACAAGAGAAATTTGAAAATTGAATAATGTGCCGATGTAGTAGTATTGTAGTTGTAGGGGCAAGCGATCTAAAATATTTTCAAGAAGGCCACACTACCGGTTATATCGGAAGTAGGTATCATCTTGCTTATTTTAAATGAAACATCCTATATATTATTACGTTTTTAAATTATACTCCAAATTCTAAATGCATTTT